ACTGAGAATGCCAGTAACAAGACCAGCAAAGAAATCCATGGAGTGGGTGCCGTCAAATTTGAGAAGGGGGAGAGGAAGGCCAAAGAAGACATGACGAAGAACTTTTAAAGAGGATTTGGAACGGGTGGATCTAACATTTGACCAAGCGGTGGAGACCGCTCGTGACAGAGGCAGATGGCGAGGTCTCGCTGACCAATGTTCCCAACGGAACGGGAAGAACTATGACTAAGACTAAGGCATTGCTTGATGACTAAGGCTATCTGATTAAGACTCGCTATCTGCGGAATGCGGGTTCTAGTCCCTCTCAACAAACATGCTGTGGGAGCGTTATAATGTGGCGGTCAATCCCACTATTTGTTGGTAAAAGAGTAGCCCAAGAGTTGGCCGTGGGTGATGATGACTAGCTGTATTCCTTCTAGTCTTATACTGCTAAATTAGGGACGGCTAGCGCATATAGCTCTCGTGTAGCTTTGCGCGAAATTCAAAAACAAACAAACATACTGTTATTTAAAACTCCATATATTTATCATAGTAATTTACCATTTGTGTTACTGCCTGCAAAAATTAATTAGTAATTGGAAACCAGGAATGCTTCTATGATTGCACGACAAAAACTTTCAAATATAATGATGACAGGAAGACGTTCCAGGTTACTTCTGTGCTTTATTCGTCTGGTCAACTAACTCCGGGTTCTCCTCCATCAGATCACTTAAATTCAGGTGCTTTTTTTATCAGGGCAACTACATTCAGGTGCTTTTTCAGCAGACCAATTAGATCCGGACGCTTCATCATAAGGGTAGATTAAACCAAGCTGCCTCATCGTCAGGTCAACTAAAACCCAGATGACTCACCATCGCGGTAAAGTAAATCTAAACACTGCGTCAACTAAAATCCAAATGACTCACCATCGTGGTCAAGTAAATCTAAACACCGCCATCTCCAATTGACCCGATCAAGGACCACAAAAGTGATTAAAAATTTCCTTCTGCTATCGAATAAACAAAAAACATGTGACATATTTTGTTCAAAGAAATTGTTTAACAAAAGTGAGAAGGATTTTGAGAAGAAATGAAAACAAACGCCACCTAGGGGATTAACACAGAACACACAACAAATCTTAATACCTCAAACGAGTAACGAGAGCAGCTATAGTCAATGATATATTCGAAAACTGGAAGAAATCCTGATAATACCTTAACATTATAGCATTCAACATATCACTGTGTGCTACAGTTGAAGTACCTCAAGCAATGGGCAATCATTATACGATTTTTTAAATGATTTTAACACCTAATATTCCAAGAAAACTTACTAAAAGTTGAATAAACTAAACTTATGTAATCATCAAAGTGACATAAGCTTGTCGCAACGTTGTACATTTGTAATAAAGTTCCTTTCACTACCAACTCAAGACGTCTCCAAACCTTGGTTTCTAAAAAAGTGAATTTCTCGTCATCAAGCTAAACATATAAAAATCAGGCTACTTTTAATTTTTATCGTATCAGGTAGTACTACGTCATGGAAATATTGTAAATTATTAGAGAATTTTGTCAGGAATAATTTTTTTAGTACTTAACTAGAAACTGTTATGTTGAATATGCTTTGTAAACTTAATTTGTAAAACAATAAATGTTATACTGTGATGAATTCAAATTCGATGACGAGGAACCAACTTCGAGACTAATAATGCTTGAACACGGTTTGAATGAGTAATGAAAAAAAAACACTTTAATATAAGTTTAACATAACAGCAAATTTACAACGTTTCGAAAAGGTTTTGTCATCATCAGGTCAAGTTATGGAAAAACTTAAACCAGTTTTCAGGTGTTATCCAAAACACGCAAAAAAAACTCCTAAAAGCAACCCTGAATTCCAAATATCAAGAACTGGACTACTTACAAAAACTCAAACAGAACTTAGACCATCAACGAGCCTGCTACCTCAAACCAGATGAATACGGAGTACCTGATGATGACCAAACCTTGTCGAAACGTTGTACATTTGCTGTTATGTTAAACTCACATTAAAGTTTTTCTTCATTACCCATTCAAGCCGTCTCCAAGCATTAAATGTTATACTGTGTTTGTTTCTTAGAATTAAAAGCTTTAGCCACAAACCTTTAACTTTTGCTAAATCCTGGGTGAAACATTCAATGTGATTGCTTGTCTTATCACCACTTTGAAATGACGTGTGAACTCGCTTCAACAACGCTTTATCCAAGTCAATCTGGTGATAACTAGGCATGGGCAGAGAAACAAACAGTTGATTCACAAACCGTTTGCACGTACCCCAGTTTGTTTAATGCAAGAAAATATCAAAAGTTTAAGATGCTATTTTATCACATTGTTTGCTTAAAATAAGAAAATAAGCAGCTTTTGCTTTAACTAGTTATAAATGTCAGGAAATTTCTTTTACTTCTCCTCAATGACATATGAAGCTATTAAAGTAGTGGATATGGAATCTGTATGATTAGAGTTCTCTATAATTCAAGCAGATACAGTTCATAAAATCCTGAAATCCAGCAATTCTCTAAAGTTCCTCTGATACTAACTTTAAATTATGACTTATAAGTTTTATTAAAACACGCGCCATTTTGATTGGTTTCGAGATAATGCGTATCATCTTCATCTTAACCTTTGCTTCATCGAATTTATAGATAACTTTGTTGACGAAGAACCCATTTTAGATAATAAAGTTTTGAGACGGCTTGAAATGGTAATGAAGAAAAATTTATTACAACGTTTAGCCTTTGTAATAAATATTTTTTCCATTACCCAGTCAAGCTGTCTTAGAACTTTATAAACTTACAGATAGTTATCGAAAACTTATTTAGAATATATTGTTCTAATCTGTCATTAAAAATACATAATCTCCTCTTTCATTTGTTTTAGATTATTTCAATAGATTATTATTATTACTTCGGATTTTTTCCCTACAAATGAAATTACTTACTACGAAGACTCAATAAACTCCTGCAAACATCTGTTTTGCTTTTCAAATTCTAAATGGTTGAGTGGTGTAATATGACATAACAATTTAGTTTTTGCTGCATTTTAGGGTTAGCTTCATATAATCTCCTGCCTGAAAAATGTGACATAATGAAATATACAAGTTAGCCAAGTTAGAACATCCTATGACAAAATGAGCATATTTTTTCCCTCTTTATATCGATAAAAATATTTCCATATTAAAAGCATAAGCAGAAGAAAGAAATCTCTTTCTTTGGACACACCAAAAATAAGGCTATACATCTGTCTTGTTTTTGAAGTAGAAAGAATACAAGTGGCACTAAAAGGGAAACAACAAAACGCCGATAATTACCTTTAGAGGTTATATCCTTTGTGAGTGACACTGATGAATAGTTCTAAAACTAGGCTTGGGAGCCATTTCCTGTCACGGCTAAAAAGGAAGACTTGTTGGTCTTGGATCTCTCTTTTGCTATTCTGTTAAGAACAAAAGCGCCCTCATCACCACAAAGACCAGATGATAAAGATGCATGGCAGTAGATAAAAAAAATCTCATTACCACACATTAGAAGCTAGATACGTCTAGTTAGAAGACGTTCTATTGAACGTAGTTTTAACATTTATAACACTACAAAAACTATGAAAGAAAAGGAGCCTCGCCAACTATAAACACACAGCAAACGACACGTTTCAAAGGGTATTTCAAGTCACATTAGAAATTCTGCCAACTTTTATGAGTGGTTGAGGAGTAACTCCTATTTTTTTTTACTAATTACATATTGCGACACGTGTTTTTCGACAGTTGCATAAATTATACAACACAACTTTTTTAATGTGTTTAGAATTGGTTTATTATCCAATTTCAGCTGTAAAACATACACGAATACTATTTTCATAATGTATTTTGATAAAAAGGTTAGAAAAAATGACCTTTATATTCCAGATAATTAGGGCAGAACTTTTTGTTCTAACCAACGTTTCGCCTTTGCGGCTTCATCAGAGTTAGTACATACAAAGGCGAAACTTTGGTTAAAAATATATATATTTTTTAATTATCTGGAGTATAAAAGTAGTTTTTTTCTAACTTTTTTATCAAAATGTGTAAATCCCTCCAGTATGCACTACAAACTTTGAAAAACAACAACAACAACAACAAAAAAAAACAACATAATATATGTTTTATCACTCATAACCGAATTTCATTTTACTACAGTTTTGGGTAGTGTATCTGTAGGATTGAAAAGTATCTAAGAAGTCATAAAACGAAATACTGAGTAATGAAAAAAACTATACTTACTTGAAATAGAACTCGTGTATGTATTTACTGTAGAACTTACGTCCATTGGTATTCAAATTATATGTTTGCTTATGTTAAAACAATATCGACACGTTGGCTTATAAGTGACTCTACGGTTTATACTTAAACGTTATTAACAAGCCAATGTGCACGAAACTCAAGAATTGCATGGATATTAAAACATGAACAACTCGTGGATACACCTAAACTTTGACATTTAATGTTGACACATGATTGATCTACTGATACCGGTCGCCATGTTTGTGAATTAACAATGTTAAAACATGATTTATGATTGAATTGTAAATAACCCAACACTTTACTTTAGAAAACGAATGATTTGGTAAGTACATAGCTCAACAGTTTATGACAAAAACTGAGTATGTAGTTGTCATGTTCGTGGCATGACGAGCTAAGTTAAATCATGAATATCTATTTTTATGCACCTGAAGTTAAGGGTTAGCATATGAACGACTGGTTGGAACGCACATGACATGATGAGTTAGCAGATGAATGACTGCTTGAAATGTTCCTTACTTTACTTATTATGTTATTCCATGAAGATCAGATTAGTCTGCAAGTTTCGTGACGAATCAGCGTATGAATGGCTGGTTGGTATGCACATGACGTGACGGGTTAGAAAACGAATAATTGGTTGGTATGCACACAACCTGACTGACTGTTATACCATGAACATCGAATTGGTCTGCAGATAATGTTACGAGGTAATATATGATTGACTGGTTGATATGCACATGACGGAACCTCTTAGAATATGAATGTTTGGTTGGGACTAGTTAGCATATAAATGTTTGGCTGGTATGCATATGACATGACTGGCTACATTATGTCATATCAGGTTATATTAAAACTATTTTGAATATGTCAATCAATAAGTTACGTGACAATCGCAGCCTATGTAAAGTAGCGATGGAACAGCATATATAAAAACCATAGTTTGACATTTCTTGACGTTTTGAGGGTAGTATTCTTTCCATCTTAGATCATAAAGGTGTGTTCAAATCTGGTGCTTAGAGTTTTAGATCATAAAAGTGTGTTTAAATCGGGTATTTTGAGTTTCCGAGACAGAGATATCCTTTGTACCTGATGACATTGGAAAACAAAGAAATAGTGATTAACTTTGAGTACAAGGACGACCCAGAAAGAGACCCGTAACAAGTCGCCCAGCAGCCATGATAAGCAAAATGAGGCCTTTCAACAGGTGAGTATCCACGAACAAGAGCGTCAGTGGTAAATACCGTTCACGTGCCTCAGGCAACAGTACCAAATGTAACAAAAATAAGATATATTTACAAATTGCTTCCACGATATATGGGTAATGAAGAAAAACTTTAATATAAGTTTAACATAACAGCAAAAGTACAACGTTTTGACAAGGTTTTGTCATC